TCTATTTTTGAAATTTTGTGACCCATTCTTATAAATAAATGAGGATCTATCAAAAGTAGAAGTGCAGTCTTTAAAATATATGAATCTTTTTTTCAATACTGAATGGTTTTGACATGCTCAATTAATTAGGTCATAATTATTTGAAGAGAGAAGTAATTTTGGAAAAAACTAATGAGTTTTAAGAGTAATTGTAGATTATAGATTTCTTTTTATTACTTAAGTAGCTAGGTCAAAAATAAATATTGGGTCCTCTAAAAATTGAGACCCTGTGTTGTTGCCCACCTTACACGCCCTAAAATCCAACCATGTTGGCCGGTGCAACTAGTGATTCTAGATATTTGTATTTGAATTTGATTGCATTTGGTGCATAAAACCAAAAATAATTGTATTGTTATTATTGTCACAAAATGAAAATAACGAAAATATTAATATGTGGCTAACATTAAAAATTGAGTATTTAGAAATTACATCGTATAATAAGATTACGAATTAACTTATCAAAAGAATCACAAAATGCATAGTTTGATTTTTTACTGGAAGAGAATTGAATTTTTTGAGTGCATCTGACACATCGGAGAACCTGTAGACCGTTAAGACATGCATATCCTACGATATACTTCTTTTTCTACTAAAGCTTACTTCTGGGTAGGAGCAAATAAGAACCCTTAGGACTGGAGTTCAATCTTTATGAACCGACTTATCAAGGGAACCTTAAGTAGTCTTAAGTTTGAACTATAGTAATATAATATTCAAAATCACGCCAGATTTAAATTTAACTTTTCACACTGCTACATATATTATTATATGAATTTGGTTCATATTACATGAATATGTTGTTAAACAAAACAGAAACAGACAAAGCATAACTTATTATCAAAAAATGTTGTCTCAGCTCGCAGAAAAAAAATCTAAGATGTTTATACTAAAACAAATATTCATAATCTCACAAACCAAATATAATGTGCATAATCTAATTCAAAGCAAAGACGACAAATGTGAAACATGAAACCATTGTTCAGTAGGCATCATTTAAAAAAAAAATTAACTTTGCCACCTATTAAAGTGCATATAATGAGTTAGTGACTCAAAATTAAAGGTAATTAAAGTGCAAATTAAAGTAGGAGTTTGTATTTACTTATAAAAGTAGAAGATTCGGATCTGCAATTGTGGTCGTTGATTACTTCTAAACTTATCTCCTCACTAAAATCAACACAAAAAGAGTGATGATAATTAAGTGACAAATCTAGAGAAACAAGGAAAGAATCCAACAACATATCTCAAACTCTGATTCGCAGCCTAATAAATCTGCTGATCAACTTGTGTATTTAGTGCTAATCACCAAGATTTGCTTATCAAATCACAATATACTATAACTTTTTTTCTAGGTTTTAGGTAGGACTATATATTTTTGACATGACCCTACGAAAGAAACAACATTATATCTTCATGGGACACTTTTGTCTTTCCAACATATAGTGCTTATCATATCTATTTTACCTGTCAAATGGGTAGGCCTTTCTTACAACATCCTTTTTTTACTAGATGATTAAAAATGTATTAGGAGATTGAGTAAATTTTATGTCCCTACAAGAAACTCGATCTGCAACCATTATTTAAAGTTGATTTTGTGTTAAGCCTGTCTTGTGATTTTAGTCGACAAAAGATCATAAATAGGTAAATCAGTATGGGTCAATTATAGCTAAGCTTGAAAGTTTGCAAACAAGATTAATTAGTAACAAAAATTAATATATGCATGGCACGCAATTTAATTTAATTGAAAAAAAAAAATGTATGTTATGTTGATAGAGTGTGGACACATGGTTGCATTGAGTCCTCACATGATAAGCTTACAAGCGTTGGAAGCGTCAATTAATAAAATAATCAGACAATCTATTAATTGTAATTAAACACCATACATGCTATGTTGATGGAGGTGTGCAGTGGCAGGTAAATTATATACAACCAAGTATATATATTGACATGGCTGTATTAGCATATAACATTCAATAATTTTATCACGGTCTGACTAACATAGTGCACTCTTTACGATATAATGTTCAAAATTCTGAGACTCCGAACTTGTACTATATTAGTAGTTCACTTACCAACTATTACAATTCTATGCTATATTGCTATGGAACTGTATAATATATTGACTTCTTTTTGAGGGCAACCCAACCATGTTGGTCGAGTTGTTGGCTTGGTAATTACAAAGTTCTAAATTTGATTGTGGGAGCAGATAATTAATAGTTTGAGCCGATCAGTTATTTACTCAATGTACACCTTTAAGTAGTGGATGCGATCGAATTTTAATTTCCTCGTCACAAAAAAAAATATGTGTTTTTGAATTGAAAGTAACTTAACAAGAATTGTTCAAGTTATGAGTAAAACGAAAAATAAGCAAAATTTCACCTCAAAGTCATTCCAATCCTTAGCTTGTTCAATTTTGTCATCTTTAATTTAGTGGAATATTATATCAAATGTGACCCACAAAAAGGTGAAATTAAAATATTGGCACAAATATACTAGCTTTGTGGTCGTTTAATTTCTTCCACCATTTCCCATATATAGATTCCTAATTTTATAATTGGTAACTATATATTGCAGCCTCATATATAGCTTGCATGCTTTTTCAACTCATAGTACGTGATGGAGGATCGTGTCATTCACATGAGTTAACAATAGTAAAAGGAATCCTTTTATTTCCATCAATCAATTGGGGCACAAGTTTTGGCGTTAAGTTGGCCATGCAAACAAGAATGGCATCTTGAATATAATATAGATCTTTCTATCACTTTCTTGATGAATTAATAATTTTCAGTTTCTATCAACATATATGCATGACATGGAAAACCAAAACTTACGCAGAATTTGTCACGAGAACTTAGCAGCTAGTGATGAAATTTTACACATGAAGACAAAGCTTATAAATACAAAAGATGAATGCAATCATTATTCTACGTGCGACTATAAATAAAAAGTACATTTTTAATATACTAAATATACATTATTTGTGTATATAAAGTATATTATTTGAATATTGAAAGTACAATATTTTGTATACTATCAAATAATATATATTCAGTACCCAAATAGTGTATTTTTAGCATATTAGAAATGTAACTTTGTATTCATGATTTACACAACTGTGTAGACCATGGTCCTCAGATATTTTTAGTTGTGTTATATCGTAATACAAGTTTGGTTCAGATATTGAATATTTAAATTTCACATATATTAGACTTCAAAGTAAAAATTATATATATAGAAAATAGAAAATGAAAACTGAAAAATTAAAAAACACAGAACAAAGAATTGTTTCCATTAGTAAACGGACACTTAAGTTTAATAGAAATTTAAATTTCGGTGTCTATACTAGGTAATTTGTACAACTTTTTGGATCTTGTCCAAACTCCAGTCTTTGAGGTACACATCAACCATCCAAATCTCAATTAATTGGATGAGCAGAGCAGAGGGCCATGGATGGCAGGCATTGATAGATGAATATGGGAGAGGAGGATCGACTGGTGCATGTCCATTCATATACATTAGCTTTCTGGCCGGATTTGTTCTTTCATGGGGCCCTTCCATCCCCATTATGTGATGGTAATAGCCAAGTGGTAGAACTCCCTTTTAATTTGCTTCCAATCTTGATGGCATGTCATGCATGCATGTGATTTTCTTCTTTTCTGCTATGTGGTTTGGCAAATTAAGTGGGTTTTATTCACGTTAGATTAGAAGTCTTTACCTATTAATAGAAAAGGTGGACTAGCTAAGATATAAGTTCTAGTGTCTTTAGCCCTCACAGACAACTCAGTTGATTTTTAAGTGATAAATTGTAGGTAAGAAAACAAGATCAAGCATTGTTAGTCATAGTGTGAGATCAGAGTTACAACCAATGTATCCTTGTAGGCATCAGATCAGACAGTACGTAATCCTCTCACTGCACCTAATGGATTGGTGAATCACTTTAATTTACTACTTCTCCACGTACTATCATGTCGGAGCGGAGTGTGGGGTTAGAGAAATTTAGCTTTTATAGGCTTGAAGTCTATTCTCTAATCCTCCTCCATTATATTTGATGATATGTTCTTTTTTGCCCAAGTATAAATTCCAGATATTTGCACCCATGATGTATGTGCTTGGAATAAATGCTCTTTATGTCCAATTCCTTTGAACATTCTTGACAAGATATGTACCATAATACATATAATATAAAAAGGATGGGTTTTAGTACCCTTCTTTTTTTTTTTTTTTTTTTTTTTTTTTTTTTTTTAAGAATGTTTAATTTTCTATTAACAATCTACATATCAGTCTAGCTACTTAACTATAAATACATAGCAATTAAATATTCAATTGGTACAAATTGGTTGAAATCATCATTTATTTCGATACAACTTGGAATACAGATTCTTTATGTTACCCGGTGATATTCGCCTAGATTTTAGAATTTTAATCTTTGTAGACACAAATCTTAGCATTACAAAATAAATAAATAAAAACTACATCTATTTTGGTTGAACAACGGGGCATAGACATACGGTCAAGGAATTATAATGCATATATTCCGGCATGCGTCACCGTAATCGTGTGATTAATATTATATTCCAAGATTTACTTGCAAAACATGAGAACGGCACATTTGTTTGACTAAGTGGTCTGCATTATTTATCATCGTTACTTACGTGAAATTCGTCAAATCCCAATTCGTGTCTGCAGCAAGCAAGCAAGTCACTTCAACAAGGTATTTATTCCTCATATCTCACTCTCATCCAGATAATATTGGATTCCCAATTTCAATATAAACCAATAACTAACATTTATTGGGTCACCATGGTTCAATCTTTCTGTGACATTATGGGCCAAAGAGAAAAGAAACTTTAATTGAATTTGCTTGATTGACACTTGACTCCACTGTACCATACCATAATTGTTAGTTATTTGTTTTTTGAAAAGTTTTAAAGTGAGAAAAGAAACATTGTACCTACCGTTATAAGTAAAAATAATGGTAGTATTTTTTTTTAATTTTTTTAATAAATAATTATATCTTTCGGTCTGTTTTATGTGTTTTGTTTGGTTAACGAGATTAAATTGAAATTTATGTTTTAGTTTAGTATTAGTGCATAAAATTTATATCTTTACAAATTATGTACTTTAAAAATGATATTAAACATAAAAAAGGGTTCAATTTTAAAATTTATAATAAATTGTTAAAAAAAATAACTAAAGAAAGAAGAGTTGGATTTACCAATGAATAATAAACATGAGAATTAAAATGACAGAGACAAGTTAATTTTTTTTTTTGAATGCTACTAGCTCTATTACATTGTAGTATCTGTTCATATACTTTCTCAACCTACTGAAACACAAAGAGCTAATAACGCCTCAACTGAGGCTCGAACTCACAATCTTTCAAATGGAAGTCCAACCCGGGTACCATTGGACCACATAGTCAAGTTAATTACTCAAGCTTGATTCAATGAATGTTTCATTTCACTTTGGTTAGTGGTGAGTTAAGTAACAAAAAAAAAAAAACTGAATTCAAGTATTTTAATACTTTGTTTGCATAGCTCAAGAGTCTAACTGAGTTCTATATATAAAAAGAAATTTAACTAATATGTTTATATTTTTATATTATAAATGATTATAATTAATATGTAATATTGAGTTTTGTCCTCGTATTTAATTGTAAGATACTTATTATTATAATTTGTTATGAAAAAGAAAAAGAATAAAATTAGAAGTTTGTTGAGTTGAGCTCAAATAGCACAAGCTTGAGCTGAGCTGAGTGGAGCTCAAACTTCAATTTTTTTTTTTTAATCAAGCAGAGTGTTAATTAAGCTTTGATTACTAAGACTTTACTAGACTCAATTGCACCCTTTGTAGATATAATGTATTAATGTCTCTATGATATTGTAATTAAATAAAATAATCAACACCACGAATTATATATAATAATATGATCGAAAATCTTATAGTATCAAAAAGGTACCAGGTTTACTTTTTAAATAAAAATTAGTGGTGAAATTTTTATAAATAATTTTTTTATTTACAAAATATCACAATACTTTATATATATATATATATATATATATATATATATATATATATATATATATATATATATATATAGTGCTTGCTTGTTTGATGAGAACGGGTGGTTCATGGCTGCCACAAATGATCCGTTGAATTGTGTGCAAGACCCACAAATGATAGAGGTAATCGCGTGCAAGAAGGCTCTATTGTAAATCGTCTAAGCAAGAGGGGTGGTGTTCGCTCAATTTCAGTCTGATTGCCTCACTCTGGTCTGTGCTATCAAACGTCTTCAACCGGATAGGTCATAGGTGGCCTTGGTTGTTTATGCATGTGCTTCACTTGAATTGTTAACACGTTTTCTTCTTGTATATTTTGCCATATTAACCGTTCTATGAACTAGTGTGCCCATGCACTTGCCAAGGCAGTTGGCTCTCAGCCTGAACTTATGTACTAGGAGGGTACCTCCCCGGTCTTTATTAGTGATTTCTTTTAATAGTAATCTTTTGATTGTTTGTTTTAAAATAATAATAATAATAATAATAATAATAATAATAATAATAATAATAATAATAATTATTATTATTATTATTATTATTATTATTATTATTATTATTATTATTATTATTATTATGGATAAAATCAAGTAGTAAGCCACTATAGAGAAGTTTTGAGAGTTGATGTCAGAATTAATTCTCTCAAGTGAATAGCAAAGCTGATGTGGGAATGAAATAATTTAAAAAGAATCATCCTGCAAGGGTTGAGATATTTCTTTTCCCAAGGAAAGAGAAATATTATTTTTATTGTTTTAACTTTTTTTTTTTATAAAATATCATAAATAATTAATTATTTTTAATTATATTTTGTTTTTTTATTTAAGTAATTAATTTTAATTATTATTTTATTTTATTTTATTTTACAATTACCGTATAGATTTTTATAGTATAGTTAACTTTTTATTATTTTCTTTTATTTTGTTTTACAATTCATTATTTTTTTATTAAAATTATAAATTTATAAATAAAATAGATAAATAAATAACTAAAATATAGTGTATTAAATGGTGAGTCCATAAAAACTGAGAAATAACTCAAAATTGATGTGGAGAAGAGTTTTTTGTGATAGAGTGAGATAATGGAGGATGAGGTGGATGTAAGACCCACAAATAATTTAGAAATAACCCCAACTGATAAGGATGCTCTAAGCCTTTATGAATGAGGTGGATTAAAAAACAACATTTTAATTGAAACAAAAATTGATTAAATGTCAATTTCATTACATAAAAGTCTGGCAAAAACGTACACTTAAAAAAACCATTATGTAAGCCTTTTTGGTTGGAAATTTAAACAAAATAATTCGTTTCGCAGAATCTCATGCAAAAGACCATAAGCAAATGTTGGGAAAAGATGGAAAAAGGAATTTTGTTTTTGGGACCCATCTTTTTAAATTTGTACACCAAAATAATCTACAATTTCAATTCAACTCAACTTTTTTTTTTTCTTCTTTATAAATTTATTATTTTTTTTAAAAAAAAGTGTAGCTTGAGTTGTTTTCAGTTTTAGTCATTTAATTATTGTGTGTTTTGTTTTTATTTCGATTTTTAAATTAATCAATTTTGTTCTTTCAATTATTTAAAATATGTTACTTTTAATATTCACACTATTAACAATATAACACTTTGGCCTATTTGGTAAACTAGTTAGTTTATATGTCAATTTTGGCTTATTTGACCATTATTAGTTGTTTGACTTGGTTTAAAAATCAATATAAGTGTTTGGCTAATTAACTTTTTGTACTCCAAAATGCTAAAATTCAAAAAGCTACTCAAATCAAAATTTTCAATTAGCTTTTTGATAAAAGAAATTAAACCAAACAGCTATCAGCTAACGGCTAATTTACCAAAAATCTTTCTACCATCAGCTAATGTTATCAACTAATTATACCATCTAATTAACTCAATCAGCTAACAACCATTTATCAAAGAGGGTCATTATCTTCTGTAAATGGATCTGAAGACTCACAAGTCAAGTTGCATGTTTCGTGACTGTCAAGAAGGGAAAATATATAACTTTCAATTTAAAGTCGAAATAACAACTAATAGTAAAACAATGGACAATTTACCATGACATTATGTTAAGTTGGAATAAGACATTTAGAATCGTGACCGAAAAGAATAACACACAAATCGTCATGGAAGGGGGGGGGGGGGGGGGGGGGGGGGGAAAGAAGAATAAAGGCTCTGATCATGTTGATTCTTTGTAGTGTTTAAACTACCATATATTTCTTTAATTATTTCTAAGCCATACTTGATTTGAAAAAGTTGACCAGAAACTATAAAATAAGACATAGTCCTATCCCTATTCATTGTATAATACTTATGAACTTAATAATATATACATTATACAAAAACACTCTCATGTACTTATCCAATTTTTTAAAGACCATAGAGAATGTTAATAGACCACTTTCACTAGAAGTGAAACTTGAAACTTTATACAGAATAGTTACCAAACTAATAATTTAATCAACTTAGTTATGATTTTTTTTTTAAATTTTTGTATTCATATAATACCATGTTAAAAAATGAACATTATAGAGTAGTTTAATTAGTAGAGCAACTATGTTTTGTTGATTTTGACTTAATAATGATATGTTTAGAAGAGCGGATGGGACAGAGTATGTTGCTCTAACCTTCCTCCAAAAATTATTTGAATTAATTTTTATTGGACCGATAAATTACAAAAATTTCAATTCAATGATGAAGATTTGATAAGACTGCTCTCTCAAGTAGAACCTAAAATATCATGTTCTACAAATTTTTCATTATGAGACTAAATGATTCAAAATTTAATCACTTAAATTGATATTATTTTAGTTTTGAGTACTTAAATAATTATAACCTATTTGTTTATTCTAAATAAAATTACTTATTTGCCCTTTGATATTTGAAAAAAAAAATTCTTTAATGTTTTACAATTTTAAATTTTGACTTTATGTCTAAATAGAAAGTCAGAATGATTTATAAATACAAATATAAATATAAATTACAAAGAGGGAAAGAAAACAAAGAATTTCAGTGGCGGGGCAACTGGGCGGCGCGCGGCGGAGTAGTACATGCATAAGGAAGTGGAATTGACCAAACGGAGGATAAAAAAAAATAATAATAATGTTTGTCAAAAAATAATAATAATAATAATAATAATAAAACAATCTAGAAGAAAGGGTATATTCGTGAATTGAAAAGTGGAAGTTCGAAACTTAACGCGGTCTAAACACTACGCGCATGACAATTTACGCAACGCCCTTTTCCATCCGCCATGTGCAGTTTACGCAGACGACCAAACGCGCACGTGCCGGATACATGACGTCACCACTGACCGTAGAAAAGGTAAAACTGTAAAACAAAGCATTTCAATTCATACGTGTGGCATAGTAAATACTCCGTAGTATAAAGTTGGTGACCCCACTGACGGTCAAATTTTATTAATTCCTCTTGTATAAAAGTAAAAAAATTAAAAATATTTATTTTGTGATTTACTTCACCAATTTTCCTGTATAATTTATGAATTATACTTTTTTTTTATATTATTGTATTATTTATTGTCAAATTCAAAATTAATTAATTTAACATCTTGACCATTTAAAATATGTTACTTTTATTTTTTTGAGAATGACTAAAAGTAATACAATTTTCATTCTGAGATTAAAAGTATTACATTTTAAATAATTAAGTGATCAAATATAAAGAATTTGAACTGACAACAAAAATAAAAATATATTATTTCTTTCAATCATTTATGATCAAGTTGAAATACTTATTATTAGTCTTTTTGAAGTCAATAAATGATTATATAATTTTAGTATTTCCGCATTCTTCTTGAATTTTGACTTATATTTGATAAAATAAAATACTAGACAAATCTTGAACTAGTTTTTTTTTTTTTTTTTTTTTTTTTTTTTTTTTTTTTTTTTTTTTTTTTTTGAAGTAAACAACTTAATTCATTAAATCACTAGCAAAAATCCGAACCAGATAAGGTGGTGGGACATCAAACCACTCACCGCAACCTAACTTGAAAACGACTTCCCGAGTTATTGCATGGGCTGCACGATTCGCAGATCGCTTTACATAACCGAAGCTAACCCCATTTATCATAGAGGCTGCATATTTCACATCATCTACTAAAAGGCCGAAATCAGAAAAACTAGAATTAGAGACAATTGGATAATAACATAATTGAGAATCAGTCTCAACATCTACTTCTCCCATTCCTGTTCCCCATAGTTAGGATAGCGTTTCCCGTATTACTAGCGCCTCCGCCTTCGCCATCGCCACCGTATACTGTCTCCGCACACGGACATTACACTATTGTATTTTAATACACCCTTGTAAAAAGTGTAGAAAATGACAGAAACAATTATAGACCCAACTATCATGTATTGAATAGTATTACTTACTATGTTAAATTAGAACTAACCCAAGTTCCCAACTAGCTAGCCATCTTGACTCCTATTATTTAGGCCTACTCATTGTCCTAGAATTATTATTCATTGCCCAACTTGTTCGGAAATAGACCTATATAGCTAATCTCATCTCTTGGAATACATTCATCTTTGAATATGTAATTGTGTTGTGTGTGTCTATATATATATATATATATATATATATATATATATATATATATATATATATATGATCAAGTGAAAAAGAAGTCATAGGTGATGATAATTTTGTGTAAGTTAATTAATTTTTTTTCTAGACCTTCCGGTGCATATTATTGTGGTTGATTTTTTCCATAACTCCTCACCTCATGCTTTAGGGACGAGGTGCTGAACCACCATGGCAATCATGTTGGTTATCACTATATTATATATAAGTGTACAATAATTATGGAGTGCAAAATAAACGTACCTTTCAAATGCAAAAATTAAGTTTCACCCATTCAATCATCAATTCTGAATCCATTTAATTTGTTTTGTCATTGATTTATTGAAAAACTCATAACTGCTATTCGAAAGTACACTATAATTGAAGCTTGCTTTGTGACTACTCTTTAGCCCGGGACTATTAAAAAACAATTAAAATTGTCGAATTTTAAACCACTCTAACGTGAGTCAAATTTGTTCAGTCTTTAATTTATACTTTAGGATCAATGGGTCATAATGAATTTGAATTTACCGTTGACGCAGCACGGCACCAGACGGATGTTAAAATGTTATTGTCGCGGAAACTTTTACCCTACTGTTAATTATTGAAAGGAAAGAAAATGTCATTTCACCATTCAACAGTCAACACCAGCATTATTTACAGTGGTAATTAATTTTATCTTGACCAAGTGGCTTGTAGTCCACTAATATCTAATTGACATTTTATGGGATATCTTAGTTTTGAGCCTTGGTGTAGGCGTAACTAGTATATGTGGGTATCCCTTTCTTTTGTAATAAAAATTAATTTTATCTCGCAATCACCGGTTAAATTTTAATCTTCATGTGCATACAAGAAATTCAATTCAGACATTTCAACATTTGTAGACCTTTTTCCTATACTCTCAGTGTAATTCAAACTTTACACTACAATTTTTAATCATGACTTTTAATTCAGGTTACGAACCATTACACTAAGCCCCAGAGTGATAGTGGTAATTTAATGTATTACCAGACCGTAATCCACAGCATAAATAACACAACCACCTAGTCCAGGCAAGCTTGGAGAGTGTAAACCCATCTTCTCTCACCAACTCCTGGTTCTTTTCAAACCATAAAACCATAGTTCATAAACCAGCCCGGCACAAAGTACACAACACCAGACTTCTCTCCCTCTATCTATCTCTGATTTTTTGGTCCACACAATACCGTAATCTCTCTCTATATATGACTGTATCTAAAGGTTACCTCTTTTCTGGACTGTGAAACATTGGCTTCTGTTTGCTCTTTTTCTTGATTCCTCTATCTAATCCCCTTTTTCACTGTTCATCATTCCCTTCTTCCAACATTTTTCTTGAATGCTTGGATTTTTGGCATCTGATTCTGCGGGAAAAGGGGACAGACAGAAAAGCAGCACCCTCCATCCTCATCGATAATAAATCCATTGTTTCCGAATATTATGCGCTTGCGCTTGCGATTTTTCTTGTTTCCCCCTGGAGATTTCGTGTCCTCGGAAAATGCTTGATTACGTTAATGGTTGTTCCGACGAGGTTAATGTTTCCGAAGGCGTGAACTCCAGTAAAAGTTCGATGAGTAGTAGCGATCACAGTCACTGCACGAGTTTTAGCCGGCTGTCTTTTGATCTCCCCACGAGCTCGCCGGAGCAGAACGCGACGGCAGCGCTGAAGCCCCACCGCTCCTCGGATTCTTCGTTTCAGGCGCTTCGCAAGGCGGCGGCGGGCTCCGGCGGGTCGACGCAGCGGGGGCTGAGCTTCCGGGACTTCAGCTTGGTCCGCCAGATCGGCAGCGGCGACATTGGGAGAGTCTACCTCTGCCGCCTCCGCGGCGGCGGCGAGGGCCAAGTGTACGCCATGAAAGTGGTGGACAGCGAGGTTTTGGCGCTCAAGAAGAAAGTTCAGAGGGCGGAGACTGAGAGGAAAATCATGAGAATGTTGGACCACCCGTTCTTGCCTACCCTCTACGCTGAATTCCAAGCCTCGCAGTTCTCGTGTGTCGTGATGGAGTTTTGCTCCGGCGGCGACTTGCATTCTCTCCGACACAAACAGCTCAATAAACGATTTTCTCTCTCCTCTGCTAGGTACCCTTTTTCTCTCTCTATATATCTCTCTGCCTATATATACATGCATTTGTACACCCATTTTACTGAGATATGGCAATGGAATGTTGATTTTCTCAATGAAAATGATTCTCTGAGATTGCATTGTTTGCTTGTGCTAAAAAGGACATTTCTTGTGAGTTTTTCGCCCATCATCTAACCTTTCTAGGCCATTTTTAGACCCTATTTCCCATTACCTTTTCTGGGATTTTCCTTGGTTTGTTCACCTTTCAAATCTCAAAATTGGGATTTTGCCATTTCAGTGCTATTTTCGGTTTTTTTCTCTCATTCAATATTGGTGAAGTTTTCACCTTTTTATAAAGTTTCAAGAATTGTTTTTATTCATTTGTCTGTTTTCGTGTATCCCAGGTTTTATGCAGCTGAGGTTTTGGTCGCGTTAGAATACCTTCACATGTTGGGGATAATATACAGAGATTTGAAGCCGGAAAATGTGTTGGTTAGATCGGACGGTCACATTATGCTGACGGACTTTGATTTATCTCTTTGCTCCGATGCAATGGCGGCCGTTGAATCGCCGGACTTCTCTGTTGACCCGCCGGCTTCGCCGTCGTCGGCTCGTGTACCCACTCCGTTTTCTTGCATTTCCGGCAGGCTGTTCAGGTCGAAGAAGATTCAGACGCTCTCCAACAGCCGGTTGTTCGTGGCGGAGCCGGTGACGGCCCGGTCGTGTTCTTTCGTCGGGACCCACGAGTACGTGGCGCCGGAGGTGGCGTCCGGGCAGCCCCACGGGAACGCCGTCGACTGGTGGGCGTTCGGGGTGTTCATCTACGAAATGATGTACGGGCGGACTCCATTTGCGGGTGCATCGAATGGGGATACGCTGCGGTGCATAGTGAAGGAGCCCTTGGCTTTCCCCAACGAAACGCCGGCGAGCATGAGTGAAGTCCACGCGCGGGATCTGATCTCCGCGTTGCTTAACAAGGACCCGACGAAGCGGCTCGGGTCGAAGCGCGGGGCGGCTGACGTGAAGACCCACCCGTTTTTCAAGGGCTTGAATTTCGCGCTGATAAGGTCGGTGGCGCCGCCGCCGCCGGCGTCGTCGGGACCGGGATTACGGAGACACAAGACAACGCCGTCACTTCGCGGCGACAGGCAACATGTGCCGCCGTTTGATTTCTTCTGAAGACGTGGCAGAACCTACTTTCTTAGGATTAACGGATTGCTTCACGATTTGCGCCACGTGGCATCTCCTCCCTCCAGATTTTGCTGTGACATAGGAAAGATAGCGTAACAGTGTTACTATGCTTAGTGAAATTATTATTAAAAAAGAAAAAAAAAACAGAGAATATATGTAAATACAAATGAAATGAATCCGGCAGTATACTATACGAGGTTTCATTTCAACGTTGTTGACTTGTTGGCAATGCATGAATTTGGACATCCTTACATAAGTACATTACACGGCGTTTGCATAGTTGGAAAATTCGAAGAGAAGTACAATTACAAAATGATTTTCTTTTTAAAATATTACTCCGTAAATATATACGATACATTACAATTTTAATTAATAAACATACAAATATAATTGAGGTATATCCCTACATGACTACATCGATAAAGTAATAGATACAATCTTTTACAATGAAATGTCAATGACTTCACAGATTAATACGTGAGAGAAATAATCCCACTATATTATGAGGTGTGGGCTACGCAAGATGACACTTTCAATTTAAATTGATGTTCATTACCTTAAAATTCACAATTAAGTATTTTGTCACCCCAGAGGTCTTACTCATAACAAACATGATTAGTCTAAATGTGTGTGGTATGAGAATACAAGTAATTCTCCGCATTGTCCAAACTTGGTAAGTGATGAGATCTATGAAGTAGGGATACTGAGGTCACTCGAACAAACAGAAGACTCGTGGAGTGTCATCCAACAAACTTTAGTCCAAAATGCTCTGTCAGGCCAAGGTGTGGGGGGCCCTTAGGGTTGGGGTTCAACCTTTTGGAAGAACAAACTTTAGTCCATTCAATGCTGACACGTAACACGACCGGTCTAATTTTCCATAATTAAGTGTCACTTATCCCTCATCGACGAAATTTCCGACACGTGAAGCACTATGAAAGCTAACTAATTCCTTAGAGGATAGGAACTATTTTAACCAAAATTCTCCTAGCACAAACCGAACATGTCGAGACTCGAGAGACTGTCAACTTTTCAACTCTGGCTAGCATATCACATGTACAGTGTACTAGGAGAATCACATTTAATAATAATAACTTTTTAAAAAAAATTATTTCCATACACTTCAAGACTACACACTCATCTTAACCCTAATTAGCATTATTATATATATGTAATTATGATGTGTAAGCTTATAGTGAAGTTTGAATCAATGACATGACGATGAATTGTACAGATACATGAGAATAAGTATGGAATAATTTTTTTAAAATTTAATATATTTTGAATAATCCATCTCCTCTCCCTCCAAGAAGGTGATTTAATAGTGAATAAGGGATACACCTACTCCACTTCAAAAAGTGAAACAAATAATCCCAAATAATTAAGTAGCCATTATTTTTGTCATGCTTGCAGAGTTGCAGTTAGTAGGGGACGTAGGATTAGGGTTCCAAATCAGAAGCACACAAGTCTTAAAGATGAACATATCTTCCCAGAATTAAGTAACTTTTTTGCTTCACTCTGATTCTGCTAATGTCATCCTCTTGGACTTCCCATGAACGTAGACTGTTGGAATATAACCCACTACTACAATAATAATCATAATAATAACAACAATAATACAGTAATAATTTATTAATTGTCATGCACAGAGGAGAAAGTTACTTCAGACTGTTCAGAGAAAAACTTCCCATCAATCATTTCAAAAAGAAAGAAAAAAAAGGCCTAATATATTGGAGTATTATTATAATATGCATTTAGAATATCTCAAATTAAAAAAAAAAAAAAAAAAAAAAAAAAAACATCTAGAGGTTATCTTGTGTATTTTTTTACTCATGGCGAATTTTAAAAAGAAAGCAAAGTAAGAGTTTGTTTAGTTTATGAGTTTACACCTTAGAAATAAGAATCAAAATTACAGTTAATATTTAGTTAATAACTTTTTAAAACATAATTATGAGATTTGATTATCTCTTCAATTAAAAAATTTCATTTTTGAATTAAAAATGGGTATGATTCAATGTTATTGGTAATTTGATTTATAAGTTTGTATTAATTTTTTTAGATTTTTGTTTTGAGTTTTTTTTTTTTTTGTTCATATTGGTGCTTTGGATCGTATATCATTATATTTGGATCAATTGTTTTGATTTTTTTTTTTTGTATTTTTAAAATTTTTATTCCTATTATAGAATTATATATAACCAAACATCAATATTGGTAATCATTCCAATTTAACCCTACTACCAAACATGCAAAATAGTTTCACCAAAACCCATTACCATTACCAAGTATTTGATTCCCATTTCGATTCTGATTCTCATGTGCGAACCAAACACACCATAAATTTTAGTCAAACAGGCAAGATTTTTTTTTTTCTTTTGAAAAACAACACAAGAGGCACATATATTAATTCATAACATTCGTACAAACCAAATTAGAAATGCAACGAGGAATACAATCAAAATACTCAATCAGCTCATTGGCCGGATTACATAAAGATTGTTTTGCCATCACATGAGCTTGCGTATTACCACTCCGATGCACAAAACTGAAGGTAGCCGAGTCAAGCTGCTGCAAGATGGTGCGAATATCCTTAATGAGAACACCAAAAGGAGTATCATTTTCGCCCTGGTCCACCGCTATTGTCACCACCTGCGCATCAGTTTCAAAGATCACTCTCCGCCGCCCTTTCCTTTTAATCCAGCTCAACGCTTCCCAGGCACTCATCGCCTCCGCTTCTCGAACCGTAAATAAACCCTCAACCTTTTTTCATAGCCACCCCTGCACAATACCTACATAATCGCGAATCACCCACCCAAAGCCCATACACTTATTGCCAAAATCCATAGCAGCATCAATATTTATTTTGAGGAATTGCCGAAGATGAGGACACCAGTTAAGATAAGTGTTGAATTATGAATCCCAAAAAAAAAAAAAAAAAAGTCCAATTATAGGTTAAATCGCATCAAGATTAAATTTGTAATCATATTCTCAGAACTAACCAAACTTCACTAGAAGTCTAACTTTAAATCTTATGGTTATTAAGTCAATTGTACGACTAACTTGGTTAGATTGTCCATACAAACTCAAAATTTCAAATTAAATTAAAAGAGACATATCGCGTTTTATCCCACTATTATTATGAACAAGATTTTCTCATAGTATAAAGATACTTTTTATTTTTGACAAAGTTATATTCTTTTGCAACGCAACTTATATGATTCTAATAATATAGATTTTATGATAGCATTTTGTTAAAATTTATACTATTTTGTCATATTTTTGTCAATACAAAATAATAAAACTAATATTTTTGCTAGTCCAAATATATTTAGAATTTCATATAGAAGAAGACAGTTTCATGTTGATCCATAGGGGGCTGTTTGGTTGGTTAACGAGTTCATTGAATGATATTATCGTTAACGGAAATCATTTCGTAATAGTTAGCAATTGTTTCAATTGATTGAAAATTGAAAATTGAAAATATATATATTACGGATTACGGAGTATCTTTATTAAAAATAAATAAATAAAAGAAAAAGAAAATGGAGCCGGGGTCGCTATTTCGCTTAAGCCGAGGTTCGCAAAAGCTATGGAAAGATATTTTTTTTATTCACGCGCTAACGTAGCAGTGGAGTGACGGACAGCAAGAACACGTTGTTATGAAGTGTGTGAATAACGCGCGTTGGTGGAAAGGAGAGCGCGTTGAGTCGATAGGGTGTAAGGTTGATTGTCCTAATTGACAACACATGGGGCTGTCTGTAAGACCACCCGCCAACCATGCACCCTTACCAGCTTACTTTAAGGCATTGTCTCCTTTATGTTGTACTCCATAACACTAGACCCCCACCCCATACCCCACACCTAAACACCAATAATACCCACTCATGTCCTGCCACCTGTCTTCTACTCTCATTTTATTTATTTATTTATTTTTTTAAATGTCAACTTGTTCAAATTTGTACCACGGTTAAAAGAGTTCTACTACCTATAGAACTCTTAAATCTTACTTTCTCAATTTTATTTTCTGATGTGACGTATTTTGATAAGTTATTATTTACAAAAATTTACATCAAAATTTTGTGTGTGAAAGTATAAAGTTTAGAGTATATATAGTATTTTGCCTGTTAAAAATGTGCATCCCACTTGATGAGGTCATTGGCATTATTGCTTGAGATTTGTATAATTGCTTCTTTTTTTCAACTTTTTACTAATATTGATTAATATGACTTTAATTAATTTTACTTATAATGGAATTATATTGTATTTTTCTTTTGTTAAATAAGATATTAAAGGGTATGGTATATATTATTTCAAGCATAAGATATGTACCATGAATTATGCAATAATGTTGTACTACATTTTAAATGTTTTAAATATTTTTTATTGACATTATAATGTATTTCCTTATATGATGATTTTGATATAGACACTATCTTTAGTGAGTGCTAGCTTGGAGAAGGATGAGAGGGAAAGAATCTAGAGGGTAAGTAGAAATATTGAGGGAGAGAAAAATTAAATAATAGAGAAGGAATTGAAATATTTTGAAAAAATTATTGTACTATCACAAATAAGAATTACATTATTGTACGTTATTGATATAGAATCAATATGTCATATTCGTCAATAATGTAGTCAAACCATAAAATTTGTACGTCATAGACTATGCATGTGGTTTGTAGGACAATAATATAACACTATTTCATCTAACGTGCATGGCCGGATTTTAGGGCGTGCAAGATGGGCAACAGCACATGAACTCAATTTTTAGAGGGCCTAATATTTATTTTTGACCTAGCTACTTAACAAATTAAAAAAAAAAATCTACAATTAATTATAAAACTCATCCGTTTTTCCTAAATCACTTCTCTCTCCTAATAATTAGGACCTAATTAATTGAGCATGACAAAATCATTCTGTAACTGAAAATAAGAGTCATTTATTTTACGGTATTGGTTTTAAAGATTGCGCTTGTACTTTTGGTAGGGCCTCATTTATTTATAAGAACGGGACCACAAAAATCTAAAAATCGACCTGCTAACGTGTGATAATAACATTTCGTATCAGTAATGAATTTGAACAGTATCTCTTTAGAATATAAGAAATGTTTTATATGGCCACTCAAAGATTGGATGTGGTTGATCATTGGTGAAGGAGGGGTCATATCATAATTTGAAAACAAAAGGGTTGGCAATGATAGAGCTGATAATTGGGGAAAGAGATAAGATACATGATATATAGAACAATATTTGTATTATTCAACAGAGGAAATGGGAGCATGAAAGGACTTAAAGGTTTTAATTAAGTTACTTTTGATTTTATTTGGTAGGTAAAGTTTAATCATGTCACTTCAATGTCTCCATTTCAATACAACACAATTTGTTAAAAATTATAATATTAATCATCATCTCGATAAGTGATAACATTTGTATTTTACGATTACAACAATTATGAATTGAAGATTCACTTTAAATTTTAACAATAATATAGTAATATTAAGAGATAATCATTTGGTCCGTTATAGTATACGTATTGAGATGTGATTTGAATACCGGAACTATATATAACATGTGTTTAGCATTCCATTAAAAAAGCTAGGCAAAAATGGCATGTGATAGCATAAATTAAACAAACTTCGGGTATAGATCAGAGGTTATAGTTTATTCTACTTAATTATAGTGAGACGCGCACATTGTAAAAATTGGATGTAATAAAGATGTCAGGAAGCAAATTCACCGACCATATGAGGTCGAGAACGTCCGATTGGTATAATGCAAGTTTTGAGAAACCAACCGCCCACACACTAAGTAGGATGTCCTAATTATACTAGGTGGCAAGGAGATGTAAAGATGATAAAGTTTTGACATAGTTGGCGTGACATCCATTGGTCAGTCAGGCCCGGTATAACACATGTAAGTTGCTGATGTAATTACGAGTAAAATGACAATGGAGTTGACTTGTCTAGTAGTGATGATAGAGAAATCTTTTGATATCCAGGTTCAAAAATCCATAGATATCTAGGTAAAGCCCCTGTAACTAACTACATATGATGATATCCAATTACTAAGCAAGTAGGACTATCATATAACCACGTATATCAATAGGTTTATTACAATGAGTAGCTGCTAATGCACATTTCGTAATTTATTTCTCTTCGAAAGTTCTAACATAAGGACAGGTAGAGATCTTGGGTTTAGGTGTAAATAGCTAATTGCTAGCTAATATTGTGTTGTCATGATGAAGTGTATTTTCCACAAATGGGAAAGAGGAAAGCTTATTTGGAAGTGTGTTTAGTACCTAAAACATACAATGACAAGAGGGAAAAGGCCTAATAAGTGATGGCTTTGTTTCAACTAAGATTAGGCATAATGAGCAGATTTCCCAATGGAGACAACTAAGAGTAAGATGAACATATATTTATTTATATTTTATAGTTTGACTTAGGCTTCCATAGACAAAAAACAGATGATTATCACCTAACACTTGTTTCAAACATTTAATAATGTTATTAAGATTGTTGGGTAAAGAGCAAATGACAGTACCTTTGTCTCCTACCATGAGTGAGAGATCTGAATGAAGAACATCATAACTGGTAACTGCATGCATAATGTCAACGGTTGGGGACCATTGCTTAGAAACCACAAATATGCCCAAACAGCAAAGCTGATGGATCAATTAATTTCAGTAAAATCATCGTTTTTAGCAACCACCAGTCAATGATGTCTTGTTAACAAATCGGAGGTTCTTCACTTCAGATCCTACGTCTTTCACTCTGAATTTGGTGTGTATATTATGTGTATTTAGTCTTTTTTTTTAAAAGAGTTGTCGTAATCATCGCTGCTGAAAAGGAGATATTGCTATCTTACTGCTTAGTCCGTCACAGTTTCTTTGCTTTCATTTATATAGTTTTTTTTTTTTTTCTTTTTTTTTTTAAATACGATGTTGTAAATTTGTAATGACTTAAAAAAAAAAAAATGGTTTGGCAAATTTTGTTTGGACAACCCAATCAAATTGGTTAAGTTATTGATTTGGTAATCACAATGTTATAAGTGTGACTCTTAGCAAGAGAATTTTATTAACTTTCTAAGTTTAAAGCAGTCAGCGCAACAATCAACAACTTAGGTTAGTTGTGAGTTTTTCTTGTCAAGTTGTTGAATTAGTAATCACAATGTTACAAATTTGACTATCAGCACGAGTGTTTCATTGACTTTCTTGGTTTGAGCCAGTCAACTATGGACAACCTAAGTTGGTTATCTTCTTGTGATCCTTTGTCGGCTATGTTCACAAAGTGAGCTTTACCCAACACTTATCATTAGATAATAACAACATACTTTTTCATCACAAAAATAAAAATAAAAATAAAAATAAAAATAAAAATCATGGTTTTGGTTTGTCGTGTGACATAACATCGTATGTAGTATAATGTCCTACCTTGTATAAATGCACATGTGGCAACAAGAACTTCACTTATGTGAAACTAATTCTAAATAATTAATTAAATTAAATTACAATAAATTACAAAAATTCATTAATGTTGGGCTAGGGCATATTGACACAAACCCATTCAATGGAGAGGGCCTATGAAGGAGCGATGGGCCCAGAAAAGCCCAACTGTTAAAAGATGTCGGATATCTCAACCCTATTAATACGTGGACAGCAAGCCTGAAAAGGCCAAGTGAATGACGTCAGCCGGCAGCAAGCAACCAACCATCACCCACGCGCGCGTCTGATATCCCAGAGCCGTGCATGCCACATTCCTAGAAATTCTAATGGCTAGTTGAAGATGATGGTTGTTAGTTTGTTACGAACACAATATTTAATTTAAACTAGGGAAAAAAGTCAAATAGGCTCTCGAACTTTAGCTTAAAAGTCAATTAGGTCCCTAAACTTTTTAAAGGTGCAATTACACACATCAACAATTTATTTAGGTACAATGAAGCCCAAAAATAAGTTAATGACCTACTATCACAGGTCATTAGGGTTTAGGCTACCTTCCGACGATTTTTCCAGCAAAAAAAAGTGACCAGCAACCAACCCAGATTTGCCAAAAATTTCGCCGGTCACTTTTTTTGTCAGAAATTTCGCCGGTCACTTTTGGGAAGATGTAAATTACAATGACTCAATAGCTCAACAGACATGGCCAAATGCCGGTGTGCACAAAGAATCTGCCCACTTTGAGCATAATCCCCACACTGCTACCGCCGAGATTCAAACATTGATCTCTTCTCCCAAATACTGCAAACTAAACTATTGACCACCCTAAGATAATAACATGCGAACTGACCAAACATGTTAGTGAATATGTGAAGATTTAATCAAATAAGGTAGCTCATGTAAACATGTGTAAAGTTATATACACAATTTTTATTCATGTAACATTACCCAAGATTACATAAACTTTGTTCAAAGCACATTAACAAGCATAAAAGCACATATCCAAGGATGTTTTGAATACTACCGCAACAAAAATCAGGAGGAAGTGAAAGCCTCTGTTTCAGACATTCCATTTACAAGCACTTGCAAAACCATCATAGTTATATGTCCTGTGAAAAGTCTAGCAAACCATCAGGGTATCATGTAGCATAATAATTAGCATCCGTCCTCCTTAACCAATGAGGGGGGAGGGGGAGGGGGGGAATCGCAAAACAAAAGGAGCATTAAAATGACAATATAGAGCAGGGAAGCATGCCAAAAAGGGGTGTATAGCAAAATCCCACGAGGGTTGACTGGTTGAGGTTCCATGTGCTGCAAATTATCTAGCTCCCCGTCACTGGATATCAAGCTCATCAAATCAGTACTGTGCGACTATATAAACCAATCATTATCGCTGTCATAAGAGCTGTCAGTGTCATAAATATCACATGGAAAATTTAATTCACTGTCATAGATTTCATGGCAAAATCTATAATCTTCAGTGGAGTCAGTTGGCCACCTAAGCTTTTTGATCTGCTGAGAACATTTTGTCCTCAAATTACCTCCAAAACGCAGGTTAAAGCATTGCCTTATATCAAGGGATTCAAGGTGAGGGCAGCCATTGAGAATGGCTAGCAGACCATCATCTGTCATCTTATTTCCAATTAGCTGAAGGTGTTGCAATTCACGCATGTTTTCTGCAATTGCCACAGCCTCTTCATCATACTCCATGTGTTGGAAACTACACACTCTGTGGTTCAGTTCAAATGATCTTAAACGAGGACAAGAACGGCCAATACTCTCAATCGCCTCTTGGGTGATTGAGATGAAAGAAAGGTGCAATTCCTCCAACAGAGGGAGTTTTTTAACTGCTTTACTTAAACCTTCAGCTGATACATTATAGCAAAATGCAAGTTGAAGGCGTTTGAGCTGACTTGACCTGTTAAAACAAATATAACTGAATAACAATAAAAGTAGCAAATGCGTGAATTCACACGCAGAGTCTACAAAAGTCTAAAACAAAGAAGCAGTCTTCTAATTGGGAGAAGCAACTAGTGCAAAGCTATGGTAGATAGTGATTTATAATCTTTCCTATTTTCATTAATGTTGGAATATTAAAAGTCTTGGGCAGCTCACTAGCCTTAGTAATTAAAGCCTTGGGGAGATGAGTAGTTTCTTTATTTATTATTGTTTCTTCTCAATACTCTTGTAGACCTATATATAGACTTGTAACTTGAAGTTAGATGAATACAAGAACCCTTTCTAGCTTTTAACAATTAATATGGATAAATACATTTAGTCATTTAGATCCTTCTGTCTTTTGTGTGCATTCATACAAATTGTATATTTGTAGTCGTAAAGGAACCATACTCTAGTTAATAAAACTCAGTTTGTGATGGGCTTTATATACTCATCGCACCATTCATCAAGAAGAACTAGCTTGAGAGAGAACATTGCTTTAGACCATTCAAAATATGTGAAAAACTCAGTTCATAAATCATGAAGAAAAGATGTTCCACACACAAGTTCGTTCTTGATCACAGCCCATCAAGACCAACACAATCACTAAAATGTATCTATTTATTACCCAAAAAAAAAAAAAAAAAAAAACTAATACCCATTATTCTAACTGAGAACACTTGTGAGATGATCTTTTCACTTTGTAGGCATATACATACAAGCACATGAACTTAGAGAAACTTGCAATAGCACAAGCAAACATTAAATCAAAAGAGATTTGTTCTCTACAAATATTTCCCTTTACTCTAGTGCATATATAACCTATAGTAGTCAAATATTGCAGACTGTGATCCATATTTCCAGTTGTCATAATTAATTTAGTGATGTAGTTATCTTTGGTTACTACCTATTATTAGACATTTAAACAAACATATTACTCCAAAATTGATAGAACATGCACAAAGACACCCAGCTACACAGCTATAATTATTATCCAAAACACAATGGATTAGCTTAGCTATTTTCCCCCCTTGTATGCATACAACCAAATCATCAAGAAAAATCAGATCAAATGAATGTCCAAGCCAATTTCACATTCAGAAACAATTTTTTTTGAAATAAAAGAGATAATTCATTAATCATAGGATGAAAAGTTTACAATAAGATCGATGAAATGATAAAACATTCTTACAATCAGACATTGAAACAAATTTTCAATGCTACACGAAACTTGAATCTCTGACTGTTTTTCAAGATAAGCTGAATTCGTTTGGAGAACCCCAACTTTTTTGAACATTCAGAAACAATTATTTGAGCAATTAAGTTTTTTTTATTTATTTAAAAAAAAAAAAAAAAAAAAAAAAAAAAAAAACAAACAAACAAACAAACAAACAAACAACAACAACAACTAATGCCACGACTAAAGTGAAAAGCTTTTCCCCTAATTCCCTAAAGATAGAAGAAAAGAATGTTTGACATTTGCTTAGATAAATTTTCGACTCAAATTTCAAATAGCTATAGGGAACATTTGAATGTAAAATTATGAGAAAAGCTTAAGGAACATAGCATAAATTATTAGAAAGATAAGAGTAAGAATAGCAGAAGTGCGGGGAAGTAGTGACGATACCTTAGGGCAATATAATTGAGCAAACCATCGGAGCCGAAATACTCGATGTTGATATGAGCTGCATTGCCCTGGCTGAGATCGACGGCGCGAATGCACATCTTATCGGGATAGTTTTCCAACTCCCATAATCCGGCGATGCCAGAGAAACGCATGTCAATGACCCCCCACATGGACGGGTCCTTGCAGAGTCTCCTCCAGGTTGTACACACTCTCTGCGCACTGCACAGTATTTCAAAAGCCCCAAGTTTCTGCAGTATCTTCTCCGTAATCCCTTCCGGCAACTCCACCCACGGCGGCGGTTGTGGACTCCGAGAGGAAGACGCCATCAACTTTCCTTTCTAATTTTTAATTTTGTTGTTGTTATTATTGTTACTCACTCCGTATTATAATAATAAATTAATAATAACTAGCTTGGGAAGAATAATAATAAGTATAACTAGCTTAAAGCCTGAAGTGTCTATCAAATTGGGGGTCAAAAAACAGAAATAGGAATAATTTTAGAATGAAGACAAAAATGAGAATGTTTTTTCTTTTTTGACAAGAATGAGAATGTTTAATATCAGTAGATTATCACGTCTGTATAATTTCAGGTAAACGGGTTACTTTAGGTCTAATTACATGAGTTTGTATTATTCGGAAGTCTAATTGTTTTTTTTTTTTGGATCTAGTATCGGTAATTGTCACGTCATCTCCATTGTGGCCTAGTCGGAATTCGTAATACATACAATACATACACAGACACGGTCCAAAATGTTAAGCAGTCTTTCTATGGCAAATTTTACTATGGATCATGGTCTATGTAGTATTGTAGTAATATAGTCCATAAAGTAAGTATTATTCTAATTACACTTTAGTTTTATTTGACAATATTATTTTGTTTTTCAATTTCATTTTTCACACTCACTAGTTTCATTATAGCAATACCAAAGTATCATTTTAATTCTACTACAGTTTCATTTGATAATATACATTATTGTATGAACTCTATTTTGTTGTTTTATTTTCCAAACATACTAATTTAATTATAATAATGCTAAAATATTGTTTTAATTACACTCCACGTTCATTATAATAATGCTAAAGTATTGTTTTAATTACACTCCACGTTCATTTGATAATATATGTTATTGTATAGTTCTAAATTTAGTTTCATTTTAACAACATTAAAGTACCATTTTAATTATACTATAATTTCATTAGACAATATACGTTGTTGAATTAGCTCTGTTGTTTATTTTAATTTTTCACACACTAATTTTATTTCAACAAAACTAAAGTATCATTTTGAATCTACTACAATTTCATTTGACAACCATGTTCCACTAACACTATAGACCATGGTCCACTGTATAACAACCGCTTTTCTATAGCAAACAACTTTGTAAATCGAGCCATAAATATTACTCCGTAAATTTTAATATATAAATACTCATTTTTAATAAATTTACAAACCTGAATTAAACACACCCTAATGTTGAGGATGGAGTGAGTTTGTTAGTAGTAAGATATGGAGAATTGGGTCACTATATGCAAATTACCCAGTTAGCACTTAGCACCATTCAAGTGGGGATTGATTGCATGCCAATCAGCCCCATCACTAATGAAGAAGTAGGACAACTTCCAGATCATGTTATTCCGAGATAAAAGGAAAGCTGATCAAAGAGGGAAAACAACTAGCTTTCCACACAAAACTAAGGACCACAATGTTTATGTCAAAGCTGGACCAAACAAAATTAAGTTCCAAAAGTAGAAATAGCAGCCAAGATGGAATAATGGTAACATGAGAAAGAAATTCTTAACCATTACTGTACATGACTAGCAGCAGCAAGCAGACATAACCCAGTCATCACACCAGCCTCGCCAACAAAAAACACCCGTCCAAAGTATCAGGAAGGTCATCATTTAACTCTCTACACCAACCATCCCTGCATGAATATGAGAACAAGATGTTTAAAGTTTGATTTTTAAGGAAAGAAAATTATATAAACACCACAAAGTCAGTATTCTCACCAATGGTATACTTGGATAGTCATCATCAAGTTCAAGGTACTCATGGCTGAAAGGATCAGTATAGTCATCATACGCAAAATCATCATAATCATAGTCATAATAATCTGGGAACCCATCAGATAAGTATAATCCATAGTAGTCATCGTCGTCCTCAACATAATCACAAAATTCATAGTCAGAAGTTGAATCATTAGGGCACCTTAGATTCTTAATCCGCTGAGAGCATCTCACCCCCAAATCACCTTCAAGAGTAACATTGGAACACCTTCGCAAGTCAAGAGATTCAAGATGTGGGCAACCATCAAGTATTGCCTGCACACCTTTATTTGTAATCTTGTTTCCAAAAAGTGAAAGGTGGTGCAATCCATGCATGTTTTCTGCAATTGCTAGGGCATCATCATCACACTCCATTGGGGACATAGATCCATACTGGTCAAATGTAAATGAGTTGAGCGAGGGACAAGAACGACCAACAACTTTGATGCCTTCACTTGAAATGTTGGAGAAGTGGATTTGCAGCTCCTGCAGCAATGGAAATTCGGTAGCAGCCTTACACAAGCATTCACTAGAAACATTAATGCAGGACACAAGCTGAAGACGTCTAAGCTGATTTGCTCTGTTCAATTAATTGCAAAATGTTAAATGACTAAAAGGATCTGTAATTAGCAGAAAACAAAAAAGAAATGTAGCTATCATTGTGCTAGTCACCAGATGCACCACCTCAAAAATAGAATATGAATGGAACTTTTAGAAGCAGCAAGGATTATGGTGCTAGAATTAAATCATGTATGATGATTTATATCTTTAAGCTATTATATGCACAATAGAAAATATTCTTATACTTCAAATATAAATAAGCATAGACATGCCAAATTGCAAAGAAGATATATATAATGGAATTCAGATGAATATTAATTATCAAGAAAAACAATTTCATATGGATATTGTATAAATGAAATAATTATAAATTTTGGTTGAGCACTACCAACTCAAAAATTCTAGCAATCTCACATGTGCTAAGAGGTTTTAAAAACAAATTATATAAAACTAAAAAAATAATAAACAAATTGATTGCACAATTGACTATACAATAACCTAAAGCTAGGAGGGCTTCTAAAAAATTTAGACAAACTTTTAAATATTTTGCATCAAGAAACAGTTGTAAAGCCTGCAACTTAAGATGTCACAATCTATGGAATTGAAATCCTTGCAACTATTGAGACCCAAACCTTTTGTCCAAGCACGCTAATACCTTTTTGCAGTGCCAAAATCACACACAAAAAACAAGGACACATATCATGAACATGCTGTTACTGAAACTGCTATCTAGAAAAACAATCTTCAAAACATCCTCAAAATTGTTGAGATTTGAGAATCCGAAGTCAATATTCCAGATATTGAAGATTTAAAGGAATAAAGATAATATTTCTATAGAAAACTGTTAGTTCACAGACAAATCATCTTGACCAGTTAATAGTCCCTTCAGGTATCCTTTATATCCTATTTCAAGTCTTTGTGATATTGTTTTATACTCATGATAGGACTGAAGAAACTGGATTAAGGTAAATTCTATGTCTTCTTCGCTAATTGATAAGATGCTTGACACGTAAGAGATCATATGTTAATTTTCTTAGCCTGTCAAGCACTACTGGGGTTCTCAGCACATGTTTTGCATTCATTCACCTTGGTATCTATTTGCAAGACCATTTGCTCTTTTTTTTTCTTTCAGTAAATGTCAACACACACATATCCTGTACAAAGAGGGTTTTATCAAACACTGAATTTTCTTTCAAACACCTCTCAAGAGTGATAGTGTCAAAGTTGAGGAACAGTATCCTATTCTCAGGAATTGCTTAGAGCCCCAAAAAAGTCTTGTATATTATTTCATTCAATCCTTGGTTGTTCTGTGTTCCAACCATCACACAACACTCCCACATCACACAACTTGCTATGTTTGACAACGTTTTGGAAATAAAATATGGCTTCTAAAAAGTTGGTATGAATTTGTTTGTACAAATTATTTCAACAAGTGTATAAAGCAAGGGGAAGAACATCTTTTTGAAAGCCAAATGAAACGCCAAACCCATTTATGCTGTTTTGAGCTTATGCCATGGAGCTAATTGAAAATCCCATATCACAAAGATGCTTATGCCCAATCAATACCTTTAAATCCCTATTCAAGGCAGCTATTTACCCTCTAATTATAATACTTGTTTTCCATTAAACACATAGCAAGGAAAACAAGGACTGGATTTTAACAGCTACAAAAATAAAATGGGGAGTAAATGCCATCAATAGTTATTAAACAAAATGATGGAACTCTACCTTCTAACTGTGAAGAATAAATGTATAATCCACTTTTACACTAACATAATATTAGTAGCATGGAACATAATCAGCTTACTTAAGTCCTTGTTATGGTATTGTCACTATGATTTTGTATAAGACACATTATAACAAGCATGACTGACCAAGAAGCATCATAAAATTAAATATATCACGAATTAATTAATATAACACAATTAAAAAAAAAAATCTAATAAACCACACAACATTTAGTACATAATTAAAGTAAATGAACTTTCAAAGCTATACCGCTGGTGTTTGGAAATGATTATTTCATATAATTATTGGAATTACTGATAAAATAGCTATCCATTATCATCAACTATAGTCACAAACCATAATCCAAAAATTAGGTCAACAATTTCTCCCAAAGACAATACAGATGTATACACTGATAAATGAAGAAGACGAAAAGAAAGAAAGGCCTGACCGCTGAGCAATATAGAGAACCAAATCATCAGTACCGAACTCCTCAATGGTGATGTCTACGAGTTGTCCCTGGCTGAGATCCACCGCGTAACGGCACATGGGCTTTAACGCCGGAGAATATAGATGGTCATCGTCGGAACTCGACATGTCGATGACGCGCCACATAGCAGGGTCCAGGCACACGCTCCGCCATGTCGAGCACACCTTGAGGGCAGTCTGCAGCACATCTATCGTCCCCAGCCTGTGCAGAATGTTCGCCGTTATGTCACGCGGCAGCTCAACCCATGGAGGCGGCGGCGGAGGCGGATTGGAGGAGGAAGCATCCGCCGGATTTTTCTTCTTCGGGAACCTCCATACAAACTTCTTCTGCCTGTAATAGGTGTACCGCTTTGGCATTTTCGCTGTTTTTTTTTTTCTCTGGATGTTTAGGGTTTTCTATTTGTATTATCTCTGGCTAGTGCGTAGTACTAGAGCACAGGGGAAATGGGAGAAAAATCACGGACTCTGAGAGCGCGTGATGGAGTGAGGTGTTGTTTGGTTTGAATATGAGAATTAAAAATTGAAAAATACTATATGTAGTCTTATTTTCTAATCTCAATTTTTTACTCCCACAATAGACATCGGAACCTACATGAAGAAATGATGGCCCGTCACATCATGGAATAAATTTGGATGAGTATGATTTGCAAGTACATGTAATAAAACTCTATATATATAGGGATAAAGGTCACAAAAACCCTTCAATTATAGGTCAAAGTGTAATTAGTTCCTTAAATTAACAAAAATTTTAAGAGTTAATTCCAGAAATGGTCCTCCGACTATATTGATTTTCCAAAATTAGTCCTCGATTTTTAATTTAGACACTTTATGTCCCTTGACTTTCAATTTCTTTCTAATTGAGGTCCTTTCGTTAGATTACGGTAAATTGGACATTAAATGAAATGGTAAAGTAGTCATTTCATCTGCTAATGTATAATTCTTCGTATTTCTCCCTTGTATGTGCGACTTCGGACATCAGATTCACTTAATTGCTTAATCCATAAATCCACTCGAAGAACAAAATTCCATTTGGGATTAAGCAATTAAGTGAATCTGATGCCTGAAGTCGCGTGTACAAGGATGAAATACGAAGAATTATACGTTAGGCAGATGAAATGACTACTTTACCATTTCATTTAAAGTCCATTTTACCGTAATCTGACCAAAGGACCTCAATTGGAAAGAAATTGAATGTCAAGAGATGTAAAGTGTCCAAATTAAAAGTCGGGGGCTAATTTTGGAAAATCAATATAGTCGGAGGACCATTGCTGGAACTAACTCAAAATTTTAATTAGATCTTTCATCTTTTTATTTTTATGCAATTAAGTTAATTAGCAGGTTACAACTAAGTTATGGATAAAAAAAATTAATTCTTAAAAATAATTAAAATAAAGAAATATATTTTTAATTCAAATCGTTTAATAATTTTTTTTTTTTAATGCCATCAATTGACTTCTCTACCTAGTTGAACGAAGAAGCCGGCAACGACTTCTCCGTCCCGTCGGACAGAGGAGCTGGTCTGGCTTCTCCGTTCGACTGATGGAGAAGTCGGCAATGGATTCTCCGTCCAGTTGGGACGAAGAGACGGAGGAGCTGGTCTGGCTTCTTCGTTCGACTGATGGAGAAGCCGGCAATGGATTCTCCGTCCAATTGGGACAGAGAAAAAGGCCACCAACCAGTTTCTTTTATATATAATTTTTTTAATAAAAAAAAAATATTTTTACCTGTTATTACCTTATGTTTACCTATAAATTGAGCTAATTGTACAATTTTAAGAAGTTACGGACTTAATTACATACCCATAAAAAGATTAAGGACCTAATTAAAATTTTTGTTAGTTTATGGGGTTAATTACACTTTGGCTTATAGTTGAAGGATCTATTTGACCATTATCCTAAAACTAAAATGGAAGTTATTATTAAAATTTTTGTTTAGATTTTTGTTAAAACAAAATTATTGTTTAGATATGTATTAAAAATTTAAATTTTAAAATGGATATTTTTATTAAAATTATTGTTTAGAAATGTATAATTTTAGAACCATCATTGATTTTTAAAAAGTAGATCAAAATTTCAATAAATAAATAAATAAATTTCAAAGTTAAATTATAAGTAAAATAATTATCTTAATTATAAATCTGACAATATAAATTATAAGTAATATAATTATACTATAAATTTTTTCTAATAAACTAATTTTTCACGCGCATTGCGCGAATGAAATAATGCCCAATGATTATTTTTAAACAAGTACTTCAAATTATATTTGTTGACTCAAAGTGTTTTGTCAAAGTTATGTGCAAAAAGAATTCCAACTCTATAAAGGAATACCAAGCCTAAGAGTAGTAGTTATTGAAGAATACTAGTTCTAAAGGGAATTGTTATTAAAGTTTTTCTAGTTCTAGTCTGATTATAAATAGCTTTGTTATTCACAAATAATCTGTTAGGAGTAACTACTATAAAATAGAGGTTGTCCTTTATTGTAGAACTCAATCCGTTAGGAGTAACTACTATAAATAGAGGTTGTCCTTTATTGTAGAACTCAAGCATTCAATATTAATCTTATGAGGTACGAGAGTCTTTGAGAATAGGATACTAAATTTCCCTAGAAATAGTACATGTGTTTAGGTTTCAATAGTTTGGTAAGAAAGATTATTCTATTGTGTAATCTCATGTTCCAAACATTGTACTTTAAATATTGAGCTTTTAGTGGATTTAGGCAAGTTCTCAAATTGAGAAGTGTCTCACAAATTAGGGTTGTTTGTCCGAACTGCGTTACAGATCATTTGTGTTACAACGTCAGTTTCAACATCACTGTGTGTTGCGCTTTTATAAATTTCAATATCAATGCAATATTATATAAGAGATAAGAGATGTTCATGCATATGTAATTGAATGTTGAGTTTCTTTATTTAAATAAGTAATTCAAAGTATATGGCAATATAATCTTATATTACTTGGACCAAACATCCAATAAAGTAATTATTATTTGGAAAGAAAGAGTTTTTAGAATGGAAAGAATTTAAATTTAGAAATATATAGGTAAAATAGACTCTCTCTTTTTTTTTTTTTTTCAATGTAGGGTTAATATTAAATAATATAATAAATATGAAATTAATAGTGCAGTGAAATGAAGGAAAGAGTTTTCCCTAAATTAATTGGTTCGAATTATACTATTAATTTCACCAGTAATGAATGTTTAATTCTTATTAATAGCATTTTAACGTTGTTACAATTTTATTTATAGCCCATAAAAGGTTGAATTTTCTCCCTAGTCGTTATTGCATGGATCATGGTCCACACAACGTTATACGTATAGATCATAAAAAAGTACATTTAATTTTTAATATATTAAAAGTATATTATTATTATTATTATGTAAAAATTTACCTCTTCTCACTCCAAGAGCCCTATATTGTGATTTAGTGACACAGCCCTACATTGTGATTTAGTGACACATTAAATGAAAGGATTACTACTTGACTCCTACAAGGAGTCTACGAGATTAAGATTGCAATTAACCGATGATGTGTTATTGTCACGTCAATCTACCACCTAGAATTTCATTCCTTTTCAACCACTTTCATTCTTGCATTTCTTTCGTGTTATATATATTGGTCCATGGGACAAATTTAGGAATTTATTTATTTTTAAAATTTTGATCTACTTTTTAAAATTAATTTTGGTTCTAAAATTATACATATCTAAACCCTAAAAAAAAAAAAAAAAAAAAAAAAAAAAAACAGCGAGCCCCCATGGACCATGGATAGAGCTGCCGCGTGACATAATTCAAATAATCAGATGAAGTAATCATTCCCAAACACCAACTGTATAGCTTTGAAAGTTGATTTTATTTTAATTAGAGTTAATATCAGATTTTGGTCTCTGAAATATTAAGATTTCATCTCGTTATAATTTCTAAACTTGTTCAATTTCATTCTTAATTAATGAAATTGAACAAATTTAAAAGTAGTCAATAACCAAAGTGATGAAATCTTAACTCGTCGAGGGACCAGATCGGATATTAACTCCTTTATTCATGCATGTACCAAATGTTGGTTGAATTACATGCATATATAATTTTGTATAGTTCAAATCTGAATTATTAATTACATTTTTGTCAGGAAATTTGAACCTTTTTCTACCTTTTACTAACCGACTTTGAGTTTCTCACCTGTTTAATAGTACAAGGATGATCCATGGGAATGAACTTCCATGTGAGGGCAAAGCAAAGCTTTCGAGTTTGGCTATGGCGGAACATCCACACAGTAACCCAATGCCTGCGCACCACCAACCCGTTCTCTTGGAAGAATCTCTTCCACCCTCCATTCAGCACGTAAAACTTCCTCTCCGACCAACTCTTGAACGTCATCTCGTACTCTTTCCCGTCCGGGTTGTACGCCGTCACCGGCACGCCCCGGCAATGATCCTCGTGGCAGTTCAGCAGCGGCAGAATGGAGCGCGTGACCTCGTTCTTGCTCAACGAGAGACGGTTCTGTTCTTCATTAACGTCGGTCACGGTTACCTGTTTCTCGAACGGCATGCTGCACGCGCTCAAATCTATCTTGCCGAGCAAGAAAGGTATCGGAGGGTATCTCGGCAGCGGGGTTCCATCAACGCTGCACCTGCTGTGTACACGCGCCGCCAGCGCCGGCGGTTCTGCACGATTATTATTATTATTATTGTCGTCTCTTATTCTTAAGCCTGAATTATAATGAAAATTCATCTTCATCCTCTCCAGTTCAATTGCTTCTCTCTTTTCCAGGTTTGCTGCGCTCATACAAATCAGAATGTTGGCGGCGGCGGCCAAGTCTTCTTCCTCCTCGATATTCTCCGGCTCCGGCGGCTGAAACGCTGCGTGATGAGTTTTTTTTGCCATGAGATATATTTTGGAGAGAATGTTAATGCAGAAGGAAAGTATATATGTGGAGTGGTTTTATGGGTCTTATATATAGTTTGTGAAGGAGTGAAGCTATGGAGTTTTTCCAGGGAGAGAGAAGTATAATATTGATAGGAACTGAACTGGAATACGTACGGAATTTTATTGTTATTTCATAATAATATAATATATAATAATAATATTAATAGCACCAATAGGCTTGTAGTACTTTCCAAATAGAATCCCAATGGAATTCTACTTTTTGGCAGTAACTTAAATAAAATATTAGTTTCTAAAGGTGAAATTAGACAGTTTAAAAAAAAAAATAAAAAGATTATTACCTATCCATTAAACGGTTTAATGGATAGGTAATAATCTTTTTATTTAAACCGGCCAGTATCCATGATTGCAAGATTCATGGAAGGGGCGGTCCCATTGGCCTATGTTCGTTTTTGACTATCTGTTTAAATTATACTACATGTAATCTTAAATTCTACTTCTTTATTTTTATTTTATGGTCTAATTTTGATTTTTCAATTTGGCTTAATACTATTCCTTTTTGTACTGGACACTTGATTTAATGGTGATAGTTTTTTGGTTTTTAAAAAATAAGAATAAGATATTTTTATTATGTGAGTCTCAAAAAAAGGTGTTTATATCAAGAATTTGTGAGAGAAGGTAGAGGTCGGGAGTAAGATGAGGTGGGAAAGGATCAAAATTATAGCAGAAATTTATTAATGTTAATCAACATATATCAATATATATCATATGTAATTGTACCATATAATATTGATAATAATTTTTAATGATACTTATCATATGTAATTGTACCATATAATATTGATAATAATTTTTAATGATACTTTAGGTAACGATTAACATTGATGTCAACTGATACTTTATAATTTTTCACATTACAAAAAATAATATACAATAATTATCATATTTGTTTCACTCATTTATGAAATAAAAGTTGTTAATTATTTTGTTGGCAAATTTTTTTAGATAATTAACCAATACTCATTTTAATAATTAATTTAATATTCTAAAATTTGATGAATGAGGACAAAATTCATAATCACATATTAAATAATCAATACTAACATTAGTTCTTCAAAAAAAAAAACTTTTGAATAATCAAATGTACACTCTAAAAGTGTAAATAAATAATAAAAATACATAATAACTAATTAATTACTCCCTTTTGTTTCATTTTATGTGTCTGATTTCATTATTGAGGTTCTACTGAAGTTATTTTTAATCTAATTTTTTATAATATTAAGTTTAGTATTAGTATACAAAATTTATATATTTAAAAATTACACAAAAAGTATGATTAAACACAACAAATCATTTTTTTTTTTTTTGAATACCCAACAAATCATATTTAATAATAAGTATACTAAAGAAATAAACCAAGAAGAAAAAGTTGTTTGATCAATGAATAATAAGTATAATAGATAAAATGTGACTCCGGGTCCCTTGCTAGCGACCCGCTGTGCTTTTGGAAGTGTGACTTATTGGTCGTGAGATAATTTAAGCTAGTTCACCTCCTTGTGAGTCCTTTATCGACTAGGGCCACAAAATAGAATTTTGCCCCCATTGCATATATCTTGGAATAGAAGATAACCACACATGATGATCAGAATGTAAATCCACAACTCTAGCAAGTGTATGAGATATGACATTCTTTAACCTGAGAATGTAAGTAACTGACAATGATTCAAAGTGTCCCATGACTCCATGAGTGAATGGTACCTTCTCAGAATGCATCCAACATAAGAACAATAAAGATAAGAGTTATTCAAAGAATTACAAACCATCTGGCAATGGGATTTGATGAGTACACGACACCAACCTCTTTCTAGCAAAAAGCTTAGAGCCTCCTCAACTGCAAATGCTTCAACCATATACGAATTGTTTAGACTTCGTGAAGCGTCTGATTTCGCTGCCAAGGAAGCACCATTAAAATCTGTGATGGCCATACCAAAGGTTGCACAAGGAGTATTGAAAACCGCAGCATCAACATGACAAAATACATTATCATGTAAATCCTCCATAGGATGTTGTACGTCGACATGCAGAGTGCCCAGGGAGGTAACATGCATGCAACAAACTTCATTCCACAATAAGATAATCGACCATGGCTTTAACTGTAGTTGTGTTCCAACCTTTCCCATTTCACACCATATCATTCCTATGCTTCCAGATTAACCATAACAACACAACTGCTCAAACACAAACAGTATTATCTGAGTGTGAAATCCACGCATTTAACCAATTAGAGAATCCAAAATTGCATGCATGGATAGAGAAGGATTAAAAAAAATGTATACAATCAAATAACAAACAAATCGCATGTTCGTCAGTTGCACGACAAATTAGGTAAAAAGTTAAAATGTGGACTCATTTGCTTCTTAAAGCCATTCTAATTGGTAAAATTAATCTCATACCTCCAAATAATTTTTTTTTTAAATATTTTGAAAGGATCTTCAATCTCCACAATTTTTTCCAAACTCTAAAACCATTAGTAAAATTTAATTTGTTAATTAATAAGTTTAAACTCAAAATTTAATGAGTCATCATGACTCGTTTGTTGATTAATGATTGAACACTTGATGCTTATAACCCTTAATAGCAGAGAAAAACACCCCCACCGTTCCAAACATCATTCTACACTACCAAAAAACTGAACAAAGCTCAGAAAGTGTCATTCAAGATCTTGCAACTTGTAGCCTGCAATGCAGTTGAGAACCCATGAATTGCTTGCAGCTAGAGAACCAGTTCAACTACCAAGAATTTTACTTTTTGGTAACAAGTAACAATACCAAAATAAAATAGTCTGATGAAACTGAAAAACCAAAATTTGAAATCAATAAGAGGCAAGAGCTTAGTGAATGTGTAAATTATTAACTATTCTTAATTACATAATGTCATGTTATACAAATTATTTTGCTGATTAATGATTGAAATTTTGATGTTTATAGCTTTATAGTCCATAATAACAGAGAAAAACACCCCGGGGTTCCCAGACATCATTTCTACACTATAAATAAACTAAACAAAGCTCAGAAAGTGACTGTCATTCAAGATCTTGCAACTTGCAGCCTGCAATGCAGTTGAGAACCCATGAATTGCTTGCAGCTAGAGAACCTGTTGAACTAGCCAAAGCTTCTGCAGCTGATCGCCTGCTGTCTAAGATTGAACTTTTCTCTCTAGTCTTACAGTTATCAGGTAGCTCAAGGCTGTAAACTATGAAAGTGGACAGTGATGAGTATCCAGATGAATGGCTTTTCTCATCTTCTGAAACAGGCTTCCTGTTCAGGACAGTTCCCCCGGCAGCAACCCCAAGATCGTGCAAATACTTTTTGTATGAAGGTAAGAAGTCACTCATAAAATAGAACTTGTATCCATTGAAAAGCTTAGGTTGCTGCATATTAACAAAGATGCAAAGTTACTCAACAATCAATAACAAAGACTTGGTATTTGTTCTTTCTTATGAAGAAATCCAGCTGGTGAATACGTTTATGTTGTTTGTTCTTCCTTATGCATATGTTTCAAGTCCAAGTGCAATGAATAGAAATCCAGCTGGTGAATCCAAATCCCCCTAAATAATTTAGCCTGTCTGTCTTAAACTAGTTTTAGAGAAGGGAATAACCTTATTTGACATTCTTAATCTGCCAAGTCTAGGGCCGTCTCTGACTCCATGAGTATCAACTTCAATTTCATATTGCTGTTCATCAAGAAGTTCTGTAGCATTCAAGCAAGCTTTGATCCCTGCAAGAATGGAAACCAAAAATTAGAACAAAACAGAAGCAGAAGCTGAGTAGAAAACTGCAAATGTCATATAAAAATATACTAACATTCAATTGTGAGGATCCATTTGCCCTCCAAGATACCCATCAAAAATTTGAATGTTCTTTTACATGCCCCCTTCTCATTTGTAGATGCAATGATATGGGTTACACTTGGGTCCCAAGTCTTTAATACTGTTGCACCTGACAACCTCTCAAAGTCGGAAACCAAAGCCTGCAAATCAAAGTATTAAGTTAACCTCAGATAGACATACTCTGAAATTACAACCATAAAAAGTGATTTCCAATTCCAGTTCTTTTACCCTCTCGGCATCAGTGATAGCTGAACAACAAAGAACCAAACTTTTATTTTTTCTTTGAGACTTCCAAAGTGCATCTTGTCTATTATCAGATTTGACAGCAATTTGGGGTTGATTGATACAAGAATTTCTGTAATATAAAGTCAAAGAGCAAAAAACAGTAAGTCAAACTGGAAAAGTGTATAAGAATAGAAGATAGAAAAAAGATGGCAGAAACATTAAAATTGATTGACCTCAGTTCACATTTCTTTTTCTTCTTTGATTGGAATTCAGGTTCCTTGCATGGCAGTTCACAACAAGCATGTAGAGGGCATAACATTACGAAATTATACTGAAAACAAGGAAATATAGAAACTTATTAAATGGATACAAATCAGGTTATCAGCTTTACTGGTAAATTAAGATGTGACACATACATGGTCCCATTGACATTTTGGTGTCATCTTTGCACAGGGAACATGAAAACTCTTGCGACAAGTCTTCTCATAGCAGCCTAGAGCTGCCCCTTTAACTCCACAGAAGCCACAAGAAATAGACCTACTTCTCTTCAGTTCAGTTTCAAGATTAATGACATCATCATCTTCATTAAAATATACATTTGGGGCCCTGCAAATGTGCTTTCAACAATTACCCAGTGACCAGAATATGTATGTGTGTATTTGTAAAAGCAAAAACCAATATCAAGCTTCACAAACTAAGTTGGGTATATATTTAGTCTAGAATCTAATCTTGATTATTTATGAATATGTGCAAATATTTGCAAGCAACAAATAACAATCATATCCAGGCATAGATTAGGTTAATATGAATTAATGTAAAACTATCATCAGTAATGCATTCAGCTAACCACTCAATAAAATTAAAATATAGAATAACCAACAAATGGAGAAGTATTCCAATAACGATGCCACACCAACTCAAATAGCAAAACAAAAATCTAAAACTTGCTTATTGGAACATATTTTACCACTCTGCACAATTTTTATGCACATGTATGACACCTGTTGATCCAATCTGGTCTTCTTTAATTGGCTTCCCATTAAGATAGTGCATCATAACTCCTGAACCCTGAAATTTGGACATTAAAACATGGAAAATAAATTGAGGTTTATATGGAATTACTGAGAAATGAAAGGCTCGCATACCTCCGACTCTTCTGCAGTATGGCAAAATGCACATTGGATTTTTGTCGGGTGAGTCTCACACTTTTGCAAAACTGAACGACTCGAATTGGAAAGTGACTTTTTTATTTTTGACAAACTATTTGTGTCCATACACAAGCTGTTTGAAATATTTTCTGGAGTCAGAGTTTCCTTACTGGAGTTCTTCTCATTAAACTTCTGGATGCCATCTGCAATATTATCCTCAAAAATTTCTTCAGAAAATGTCACCTGTTTCATGTGCTTTGACTTCCCAGCACGTGTAACTTTACTCCTTACTTTTGAACTAGAATCTGTATTAAGTGGATAGGGATTCACAGCCACATCTCCTATTGGAATGATTCTGTCCTTAGGAGCATTCTTTCTACTTTTTGACATGTTACAAACTTTTTGTTGCTGGGTGACAGTTACCTTTCTTCTTTTGCCATTTCTCTTTAAGTCACACCCTCCACTGTCTTCTTTATGATCCAATGAAACTTGTGCAGAATCAGCACCAATACCAACCTCTTTCTTCTTGTCATGACTTTTCTTCCCCATATTCAATGCATTATCATTGGAAAAATCTTTGGTACTCAGTTTGGCTATCTTTTCTGATCCACTATGGACTCCAATTAGTTCTTGAATTGCTCTCGTACGGCCATTTTTCTTTTTGCTCTCAATCATCCGCACTCTTTTGCTAGACTTTCTAAGGCCACCATTAATTTTAGAGATCTCATTCCTTAGAGAAGATAAAGTAGGTGGACTCACCTCTTCCTTGCTCATTCCATTTTCATCATTCATGATTTTTCTGTTGCCACTTTTGGGTTCAGCAAGTATACTTAAATCCATTAAGGTAGCCTCTGTATCCTGTTCAACCCCTTCACATTCGTAAGTATCTTCAACCTACAACACCATTGTTATTTCCTTGTGAGCTGTTAAACAAATTATAAAATGGAAGAAAGAATGTGATCATTGTAATGCATCAAGACACGAGATAAAAGTGAAATGAATACCTGCAGTTTCAATGGGCTTGAAAGGAGTTCAGGGGAGCAAGGCCTTTGTGTCCATTCAAACATCTCACTATCAAAAAATTCTGCATCCTTTGGAATGTCACCAGGGGCAGCACTCTGTGCAGTAGTCAAATGTGAACTCAATAAGAATTTGAATTCCATATGAGAGCACATGCCAAAAGTTCAATATTGCAGCACATTAAGTAAACTGAGCTGGCAAGTAATGCTTCAAAAATCCTAAGAAAGGCTTGCAGTCTTGCACAAACCTTTCATAAGCAATTGAAGCTCTACATAACAGATACCAGCAAGAGCCAGTTAATGTTAGCCACCTCTTAGAACAAGGGGATAGAGGAGACATTCTTAATTATAAGCTAATAAGAAAAATCAACTTATCAGATTTTATTTTGATTACTGACAAATAAACATAAGTACATAACAGTTCATTTATCTACTTAAAATCTTAAATCTTTAGGGCAGGACCCTGATGTGTTACAGCTTCTATTGGAGGCATGAATTACCATGTCTTAGTCTGAAATGAATATAATTTACTTACTTTTGGGGTCATCTCAAGAGGAAATTCGTCATCAGAATCTTTCATATCACTAAAACAAGGAACAACTGGAGGGGTATCTGTGGCATGATCCTCATCCAATAGCTGAGTTGACATTTTGTCATCTGATAGCTGAGTTGACTTTTCAACATCTTCTCTCAGCCAGAAAAAGGGACTAAGGTTTAGCTCTCCCTTCTCATTTAAAACCATCTTGCCCTTGTTTATGACAGGATCTTTCTGAGGTTCACTGGCAGTTACTTGAGCATTTTTAGCAACCAATTTTGTAGGCGGTGGGCTTTCTAATGGTGATTGCTGCGGCACTTGGACCCTTTTCTTTGTAGGAAAGGAAGGCCTAACAGAAGATGGATTACAATTTCCATTTTTAGTCTTCCTTGATCTTTTAGGCCCTCTTTTTTCATTTCCCTTCTTATTATTTTGTTCTGAAGTCTGCATGGCAATACTGTCATTCTCTTCAACTCCAAAGGTCTTGTTTGCAGATTTGTTTTCTTCACCTGAAGTTACAAAAATTGTGAACCAAACTGAATATCACACTTAAGGGAATCTGCACTACAACACAACTATCAACCAAAGCATGATCGTAATTGCACCATTTGATCAAATGGTCAAATCTAAAGACTCATGAAGTGGTATTGTGGGACTAGTGATAACTAACTAGATAAATACAGTAATAACCTAGAAACATACAAAATATTTATATAGTAATGATGGGGTTACTGAATTTTAATCAATCCATATTTCTAGAAGATACCCAAGTACCTGCTATTTTAGTTGAAGTTTCAGTTTGAGTAACAAATATGTTGACTCCTGAAGCAGCTTCCAAGCTCTTATAAATGCTGACCAAGTTATCCATTTGGGGAGCAGGGCGGATTTCTGTAACACAAAAGCACCACACATTCACAGAATGAAGGAAACATTTTCTAGCAATGAAAGTGCATTCTACACAATTGCTATTCATGAACTTTGAGAAGAAATTTTATTTTAAACTATGTCATTTTAATCAAGGAAAGCCAGCATAATGGAAATAGCTTTAGTTCAGTTCCAATCACATAAAACAATATAATTCAATCAAAATTCTATATGCAAAACCATACAAAAGCACAAACCTCTGGGCCGGTAAGGAACTTTACAAACTGGACAATTGGGCGCCAACTTCATTGATGCGTGTATACAGCCACTGCGATTTGAAACAGCATATTGGAATTTAAAACCCATAACCAGCATACATAGAGTGTATATAGAATTTGGGAGATTGAAAGGCTTACTTGCAGAATACATGATTGCACGTGAGTGAAGCAGCTGAATTCAAGAGACTCAAGCTGCCGAAAAAAGGGAAAACCAAAAAATTACACATTATAAACTGACCATATATAAGCAATCACAGCATCTAACAATTTCATTGAAATTGTGCAGACGATTAAGCTGATTTCGAGTAATTCAAGTGAAGTTTAGACTAATCCGATTGAAGAACTAAACCAAATTATAATCTGAGATATAGATACACGGAAGTATTTATTGTGACAGAAATCAAAAGAATCTAAAATTTCCATTGAAATCATGCAGAGCTAAAGCCTAATCTTAAGCGATTCAAATAAGAAAGTACCAGATGGGGCACTTGAGCTCTCTTCCCATCCTTTCTAGATGTGCAGCATCTGCCATACTTCCTATGATTCCCCTTTGCTCTCTCCCTCGTGAGCAAGATCTTCGTTTCTGTTGTTTAAGCGGAGAAGGGACGGCGCGTGAGTTTGACGGCAAAAATTACAACGAAATACTACGGAGAAAGAGCTCGAAAAGTGAAAATGGTTTTGATATTGGGTGGCGCGTTTTTTTCTGTATTTTTCAAATTTTAATATGCGCGCGTTACTTAAAACTTCCGCGCAAAATTCAGTTGGCGGGTCCATTTTTTGTAACATTCGAGTTGGGATAAATCACAAATATTACTGAGGAAAATGTTTGGGGCAAATTATTGATGGTTGTAGTAGTGTTATGTATATCCCAAATGTATATTATTTTTGTATTGAATAAATATTATACAATATAATATATATTTAGTACATAAATAATGTATTTCTTCTTAATAAATGTACATTTTTAATATATTAAAAATATATTATTTTTATTGAATGTACATTATTTTATAGTATACAAAATATAATCCACACAACAATAATTCAATATTTGGTGGATAAGCCGTGAATCCTTTTAGTCTTCATAAGTTTGTCCACAGCTTACCTACCATAGCCCGTGACTCACATGTGTCGGCCTATAAGAAGTGGGCCACTATAACTTTGACTCAATACACTCTCATTATATGGTGGGATAAACTAATTTAGCAATAATCCATTATATTCTTATTATATGACAAGACAGATCAATTTGACGAGTTCAGTTTATTTCAACAACGATATATATGTGCATGTATTAATTAAATGAGGTTAGTTACTAAATATGTCATAAAAGGACTATAAATAGCCCTTACATTATTAGTGCAATAACATAAGAATTTAACGTAAAATAAAAGATTTTCTTGCAACTCTCTCATGTTCTGATGCTTTTTGACAGGTGGATAAACAATATATTGATCGTTTGGTTGTCTCAATGGGGTTTCTCAGGTTCTACAAATGAAAGATTAGGCAAGCTTCAATGGTAACTTCCTATATATATATATATATATATATATATATATATATATATATATATATATATATATATATATATTGTCTTTGCTTGTAAAATTGATATAAAATTGTTAATTTGGTGTTTTTAATTTGCTACTATTTTGTTTCTAACACATTGTGCAAAATACTTATTGAAATGTGATTATTTTATGGTGAATGAACTATGCAACTCAATTTAAAAATTGTTAAACTCTTATGAAAAAAATATGATGATGACAAATCATTCAAGACGACTTATTTGTCTCATATTTAGATTTGAGACGAAGTTGTCCCATTATGTTTTGGAGCTCATTTACTCGCTCTGATTTGAGATGGAGTTATTTTGTTTGTCTAAAAGTTAAGATAACATTCATTTGTGTCTCTTAGATCTGAGATGAAAAATTAATGGTTTTTTGTGAGTTTTTAATAACTTTATATGTCATGCTATTAGCATATTCATAATAAATTATTCAAATTTGAAAATGTTGTCGCAATTAACTATACAAAAGCATAATTAATCCATGTTAATCATATCAAACTTTTTACACGAAAGTTTGGCATAAATAAAAATAGATTAGCCTCAGTGAAGGTGTTGTTGACTCTTTGTGTTACATTAGGTTGATAAAGTATGTTTGAACATATACTATAATGTAATAGAAGCAGATTAATTTGATTTTATTTTTAGTGAGATTGTATATATATATGTAATATGTTTGTATATTTGACTTAACCATGCACTCATATCAAATAATAAATATTTAGTACCCAGGCCAAAAGATTTGTACAAATACAGTTTTCTTTCAATTTAGGTGGTAAATCATTAAAGGCAGCCAATTAAGTATGACAGCTATTGCTGATCCAAAATTTGAAATTTTGTCTTTTTAGGAATAAATAAATCAAGTAAGGATTTGGTTAAATGAACCAAAACTTAAAATAATAATAATAATAATAATAATAATAATAATAATAATAATAATCAAATGATAATGTAATGTATTACAAATTTTCCTTAAATCAAGTAATAACAACACACCGCCAAAGACCTTGTGGTCGAGCGATATGACTGTGAGTCTCATAAAAGGAGGTCACATGATAGATACTACATTGTAATAGAGTCAGTAATACTCAAAACAAAACAAAAAAGTAATAAGAACACACCAACATTTAATACTCCATATCATGTTACAATTAAAACTCACTAACGTAAGCCGTGTTCACTTCAAAATGTTGTCATACAATACAACAAAATTTTGGATAAACTGTTAAATATGTGTCAATTAGATCATCAAACTTTTAAAAAAGTGTAATTAAACAAATCAAACATGTGTAATTGGGATATTTTTTCAAATTTTTTGATAAAATATGATCATATTACTTACATTCTTCCAAAGGCTAAAACCCCAACCCCTAAGGGCCCCCCACACCTCGGCCCGACAGAGCGGTGGGAGGTTGTAAATCATGGTGACTCAACTGAACATTAACCACAGAGGCTAAACCGGTGCTCACTGCGCACAAGGAGCCCCCCTCACTTTGAGAGGTTGCTCCCACACTACCGCTGGTGAGACTCGATCCCTGGTCATTCTTCCAAAGTTTCACCTCTATGACCAGTTGAGCTACCCATGTGGGCTCATATTACTTACATTGTATGTACTAAAGATAGTCATTTCCTATGCTATACTAGTTGTGATGAAATATTGAAATGTTTTCAACTTAAATTATATTAAAATAAATCACAAAAAATGATTCAATTGCACATATTTTGATCTTTTGATGGTTCAATTGAACACTTTATAATTTAATTGACCCAATTGTACAAAAATAACAAATTAAAAAATGACCTATTTGAAACCAACTTGGTTGGCATTAGTGGTGGTGCACTCTCATCCCAAAGAGAGACCGGGAGTGTGAACCCTCTCTCGTATGGAAAAATCAATATGGCCAGACCATCACTTTGTCACTTAATTGGGCTGGCCCGGTGCGAGTAAGGATTAGTCTGAGTATAGTACACTTAGGGTCTGCTCAAGACATCTCACGGTCTGGCCAAAAAAAAAAAAAAAAGACCTATTATTACATGGACCATGGCCCACACAATTGTGTGGACCATAAATAAAAAATATATTTTTAATATACTAAGGGTACATTATTTATGTACATAACGTACATTTTTTAAAGTACATTTTTAATATACTAAGGGTACATTATTTTATATGTACCTTTAATACAAAAATAATGTACCTTCAGTACAAAAATAATATACCCTTAGTATATAAAAAATGTACCTGATATTCACAGTCCACACAATTGTGTGGACCATGGTCCATGCAATAATTTACCCTATTTGATGCCTTTTTTTTTTTTTTTTTTTAAAGGGACCTAATACTTGTTCCTACATTTATTTATTTTTTTTGATAATGATATGCCCATACAACTATTATCATACGTTATTTTACGGTTGATGGTAAGTTCATTGTTTTCCTTATTAAGGACATACTCCGTAATCGATTTAAATTTAAAATTATTCCGTTTATCTTTATTAAGAATTTAAGATTTAAGATGTACCAGAAAGACAAAATAAAAAATACTACTATAGAGTAGAGAGCATTAAAAGGTTGGTGTTTTCCCATTTTGGTACTCTTCAAAATCTATAAGTGTCATATCTCTAAAATCTCAACATCTTCTTCGATTGAGAATTTAGGTGGAAGACAAATTTAAGGCTTTGAAGTTCAGGTACCCAATTTTAATTCTTCTTATTATTTTGTTTTTCAATTTCATTTCTTGAACTTTTGATTTCTTTTACCCGTTGGTGTCATGTGTTGTGTGGTTGGAATTAACTTTGTGTTGAATTTGAAAGATTTAATTATTGATTTAATCCCTGATTATCACTCTTTTTTGTTGAATTAACTTTGTGTTGAACTTTTGATTTAATTCTTGATTTAATCCATAATTATCACTGATTTTTAAAAGTTACTAAATTTAGTCGATGAATGATGAATCATTTACAATTTTAATCTTTTGTAAATTTGTCACATTGATATGAATTTAGAGTTGTTAGAATAAGAAAAGTAGGGTTTTTGTTTGTTGAGTATGATAAACAATTGAACGTAATGATCATGATTTTTCAATTTTATAACTAATGTTAATGATTCACAAGGAATAACTAATAGTAAATTACAATTTGAAGTAATTCAATACTTAATTATTAAATTTGATAGTAAAAGTCATGACTACAATTGAAAATGAGCGCTAATTATAGCACTAGATTTGGAAAGAACAAAATAATTCTATTAATGGTCATTTGACTATTTACATTTACAAATTTTTATTATCGACTTTCAATTGGATCATAAATGTTTCAGTAACTATTGATCTTTTATCAATTTTCATCGTTGACTACTATTTATTTTGTAGCAATTTTGGTTTTATAGCTAAATATTTATTTAGTAAATATTAAATTTAAGGGCAATAATGTAAAAGTTGACTTGTTCTTGATATACATGGACTAATTGAGTTTATAGATATAGTCATTGGAGTTCATCGTTAGTGTGAATGTGAATAATCGAATTTGTATATTATTATTTTTAAATTTAATGTTTACTAAATTAATATTTAAATAGAAAATCAAATTAGGAACAAAATCAATAATTAATGAATCAATTTAAATTGGAAGTTGATGATGAAAATTAGTAAATGTCAATAAACAATTTATGATCCAATTATTGAAAGCCGGAGATGCAATTTGGTAAAGAATTAATTTCAATAATGGTGGATTGACTATTGACATTTATCAATTTTTATCTTGACTATCAATTTGGTCATATATGGTCTCTTGAATATTGACATTTATCAAATTGCACCATCGACTTTCAGTTTGAACATAAATAAATAAATAAAAATTGACTATTGATTTTGTTTCAAATTTGGTCATCTAGTTAAACATTCATTTAGTAAACATTAAATTCAATGGTTCTAATGCAAAGATCGGCTTGTTATTCATTAAATATTCATTTAGTAAACATTAAATTCAATGGTTCTAATGCAAAGATCGGCTTGTTATTGATACGAGCAAATTGGGTTCATAAACTTAATACACTGGATTCATCATTAATC